CGGAATCCTTCTTCTAATATTAGTTCCGATTCCGTAGAAGTCGACGAACCATGCCAATTTTTTGAACATTTATGAGTTGTACCTTTTATGTTTATTGTTAAAGCTCGAGCATAGATAGGTACTTACTTTTAGAAGAAACATACAAAACTTTTCCAGTTTTCGCGTTCGCCTATATAAATCTGCCGTATATGCGCGGTTGACTTTAAACGAAGCTTTCGGTAAAAATATACTTACTGGCATTAATTTTAATATTGAAAACCGTTTATGAAGTGTGCCTAGGTGTTGTAAAGACTTCTTAAGAACCGGAGTTGTTCTAAAGTACTCTAAAAATGACATTGACTTTTGGTATTGTGACCTCCCACCCCCCGGTTTTGTAGATAATTATTAAAAGCCCGTATTTTAATTTAACTACCTCCCTCCCCTTGTGAAATTCAAAGAAATTCATACTTACTGTATATGGCCTTTTCCTCTAGTAGTGTAGTGATCGTCTACCCAGACAACACACCAAATCCCAGAGATATCCGCAGAATATCTTTTGTGGATATCCAATATATCCACAGGATATCAGAAATATTCCGTGGATCTAATATGGATATCCAAATGTCCGTCTATATCCAGGATATAGAAGATATCCTAATGGATATTCAGCAAAATATCTAATGGATATCTTCCAGAAAATACAAGAAATCACAGAGATATCCACAGAATATATTTTGTGGATATTTAATATATCCAATATGGATATCCAACCAAAGGTCCGTCTATATCCCAGGATATAGAAGATATTCGGATATTCAGCAAAATATTTTATGGGTATCTTTAGTAGAGGTTCATAAGTAACCAATGATTATTGAATAACGACGAAAGAAAATAGCAAAGATAAAAAATATTTTCAACACTCAAAATATTTTCAACACTCTGCCTTTGATTTTGCCCACTAAGGAGAAAGTCATCCTTATTAGGACTCTTCAGCAATAAATAAAAATTCTCGACTCCAGTCTCTAATGGAGTGATTAGGACACACATTTCGATCGAACTTAATTACGGCGGGTCGAGCATGAGTAGATGCGATAGTGGTATCGCCATCTATACTTAGTAAGCAGAATCAAATAACATCTAGTGGATATCCACGATGGTTTGCGTTCGCGCCTAGACTTTGATATATTTAGTGGATGTTCATGGGATATTGAATACACCTTAAAAAAATTAATTTTAAATATCTGAACGGTACTATTAGCCACAATGGCGAGCACAATGGCGTAATTTTTTAATAATTTGCTATATAATTACTATTATTTATGGACATTTGCATGTCTATAAATTACATTTCATGGATATAAAATAGATATTTACCATGGACTGGACATTCAGTGGATATTGGGATGTTCAGTAGATATCCAAAGGATTTGTCTGGGTAGTTAATTGATAATTTATATACCCACGTTGTGATAATGTTAATTAAAATAAACCAGGATTCGATGCAAAGTTTGGTACAAATTTGTGAATGAAATAATGCTCAAAGTATATTTAACTTAATTTATTTTGTTTTTGATCTCCAATAAAATAAATATGTACAAATTACTTTAATATAAGGTAGACCTCACATGTGTCTCGCCCAAACAACAGGCCACTTGCCATCAAATATTTGTAATAAAACAATTCTTGAGAATAGAGAGCAGACGTCCTCAGAATTGCACTATCTTTAATAATTCTGTTTCGTTGTTTTGTTTTTTATATAGGTGCGCTTACTGAGATACCGTCATTGCAATAACAGGCCTTATGTTTCAGCCTCACCTAGGGGGGTTTTATGTAGATGTAGTCTTACTAGAATAGAGCCAGAGCAATACTTGCGAACTACCCCTTATGTTCAGATCTACCTACGGTGCGAAGATTGAGAGATAATTATCTAAGATAGTCCAACCCTGTAGTAACATCAAGCATATTCGGATAAATGTGAGTTTAGTCGTTCGATGTGTCATTTACCCCAATCAGCTGAGCTGTTATTTGCGAGGGTTCATTGACAGTTCGGTAACCAGACTCTTATTGGGGTCTATTCTGTAAAAATTCATTTATATTTAACGGCCTTTAAAAATAGTTTCTTCTTTAATTCGGTCACTATTTAAACGGATCTTTAAAATACATTAGAGGACTATCTTAAAGAAATCTGTTTAAATAATGACAGAAGTAAATTAACGAATACAAATCTGTACCTCGGAGCCAGACTATGTTAAGTCCAAATTGGCCAAATTTTAGATAAATATGTTAAGTGACTTAAAATTTTGCGGCGCATCGTTTGGCATTTTCCATTTTAACATATCTTTTAAAATAACAAAAATAGCTAATTTTTAACTACGCTAAGCCCACAGTGCACACTCTAAAATGAATATATTAAAAATGCTCTCCTGAAAAACTAAGTTTTTGGACTTACCATACTCTGGCTCTGGGATACAGAAATATACTTTTAAAGGCCACCAATATTTTTAAAGGCCGTTAAATATAAAGGAATTGTTAACTTGGTTGTTATTAACTCACCATCGGATAAACAGACCGTTGGGTTTATATTATCGTCTGTTTCTATTTCAGACATTTTATATTTTTGTATTTTGGATAATTAGCAGGGACGTTGAGACGTTGGCGTCGAAATTTAGAATGGCGGGGCGGAGAAGGAGCGTCGTGACGCAGAACGCCAAACGCAGGAAGGTAGATAGGGACGTAGGGCGTCGGATGAGATATTGGGCGTCGGATGGGGACGTCGGATAAAGAGATGACGTAGTGACGTCGAGCGTCGAGGCGTCGGGATAAATATAATGGTAGGAAATACTAAGTGGTGTTAGAAGTGATATCGTTGGGACGTCGATAGGTAGAAAAGTAGAACGGAGAGGCGTTGGGCGTCGAGACGTTGGGTGTCGAGACGTTGGGCGTCGAGACGTTGCCACCTTCGAGAAATAGGAGGTATTGTGGGATAGACGTCGTTTAGGAAAGGTACAGACTGTATAACTGGGTACTGACAATAGGGTGATTGCTTTGAATGTAAAATAACAAATGTATGCTTGCACATCAAATGACAAAAATTGAATGAATCTGAGCTCATTTGATTCTGGCTTTTATACAGTTTAATCGTTTTTGTGACGTCTCTATCATTTTGTTTCTCATAGAAAATACGAATTTAGGTGGATAGGGGGTGGCTGATTTATTACTTGCCTTGGAAAGTTTGTGTATCGAAAACAACGTTCCTATTCAAAACTGACTTAAGATAAGTGCGTTAAGAGTTTTAATGATTATTACTTCGTGGTAACTTATGTTGTATGGTGGTTTTAGATTGCATTCCCAGACACTTTTAAGAAATTGGATCTCTTACGGGCTGGGTTATAGATATTATTTATTAGGTGTCGTAAATAAGATTTAATTATCTGGGAGATGTTTGTTAAGTGAATAATTTGTTATTTAATAAGAATGCAACTTTTTTTAATAAAATGGAATTAATAATTGGTTATGGTACCTGGGTGCGGTAGGTATCTAAACCACATATAATCGAATTGACTTACCTAGGAATTTTCTTTGAAACTAAACATTTTGGTGTCTTTCCGTTACAACCCGTACAACCAACACAGAAAAATAATGAAATACTTCACACTTCAAAATATTGTTTAGTTTTTTTGAAAGCTTGGTTTAAAATTATATAAATTTTTTTATGAAAACACAATTATTTGGTATATCACGTAACATAGCGGAAAGTTAAGTTTTTGTAAAAAAAAATTGCGAAATTGTCCAGATAAACAGTCCAGACGCCGCGCCGCCCTTAATGAAAAATTAAATTCAAACAAGTATTTTTTAAAACTTAATACTTTAAATTTTATTTATGGTATATTTTCAATAAGAAAAAATAAGAACTTTTAAATCTGACCTTAAAATGAATAGGGATTTTATGATACCACAAAATAAAATTAATAAAAAATGTTATACAGTGACCAATTTTTTAATATTTTCTATATCTTGCTTGCTTTTTTCCTTAAATTAAAGAGACCAGAGATGTAAGATACGCCTGCGTGTTTAACCTGCGTGAATGTTGCCAATTTTTAAAGAAAGGTTAACGGAACGGGGGAACTGGGAGGAGACCCGAACTCTGTGGAAGGGACGGACTTGGTTTATTAGAATCATAATGAATTATTAGATTTACTTAAAAAAATGTTTAATGGAATGTTGTATTATGAAATAAAATTAACGTGATTTTCTAATATCAAACAGGTACAACGATATTTTATATAAAGAGAACACATTTTTGTAGTAAGAGCAGAAAGTAGCACTTTGACAGTTGAGACAGAAAGTTGCCGAGCGACGCGTTGGCGGAGCGCGGCAATCTGTCGAAACTGCCAAAAGGTTTTCTGCTCGAATTACATAAATGTTTTCTACGATCACACCAAAATAAAATAAATAATTTAATTTTATTAGAAATGGGTTACTTTTTTTCGTTGTGTGCAATGTTACATCTCCGGTTTCTTCAATCTAAGCTTTTTCACTTTCCTGTAACTACTGGTATTTTGTATCTTGGTCGACCATAAAGAATTTTCAGTAAAGGACACAATTTTCGCGTTTGAATATCCACATCCGATGCATTTTTTACAACTCGAGCTTTTATTTAGCCACATCGGACACATCTGTCCAACTACATACGTATATTGAATCACGTGATTAAATATTTACAACATCTCAGATTCATCCGATGTGGATATTCAAACGCCAATTGTAACCATTTTAGAAATCATAGATGTATTAAATTTACTTTGAAGAATGCTAGCAGGTATCCTAATTTCTAAAACTATTTTAAGGAGTATACCTACTCTTTTGCAGTTTTTTGTTTAAGAATATGTAAAAATCAAATTTTTGCCAAGTGATCTTGATAGCAAATGGTAGCCACTAAATAAATCTGTCGCATCGACGCATTATATGTTAATGAATTTTATTTAGTGCTGGTCAGACTCTATTAATAAAATATATTTCAGTTGGGAACAAATGTAGACTAAGAGGAACGAGTATATCCGGAACATGCCAAAAAGAACCAGATTGCCCATCCGCACAGGAAAACGCAAAAAAGGGTATTAGACCTACGGAATGTGGATTTTACAACTTAAATCAGCTCATCGTTTGTTGTGAAAGTAAGTACTGAATCTATATATTATTGTTACTGTGGGATTACAACCAGTCTTAACTTATTTTACCAAAAAAAAATAAGGCAAGTAAAAGTATACCTACGCAATACCATTTGGATTCGCGTAATTGAGGGGAAGAAGTTTAAATACAAGTACAGAACTATTTTTTTTTCAATATATTTATCAGTATTAACCATAAAATAATTTTTGTGTTCTCTGAATCAGCTTAGTTATATCTTTCCGAGGAAAATAGTTTCTCCTTGTTTTCAAAATGAATCCTTTACTTCATCACTTGTAAAGCTTATTCCTTTACATTTTGGAAATCGGTAAAAATCGCTAAGTGCCAGATTTGGAATTGAGGTTTTGTCTAGTTTTTTCTTTTTTGTTTAGTGGATTTTCGTAAATCCTATCGAATTATCGCCTTCCCGTTAAAGAAACACCATCAGTGTCAAAAAAATGATGGAATGTGTTTAATAAATTGTCCTCTAAAACATTGTAGTATATACCGCGTTTCATTCGTCATTGTACTTTATGGATATAAAATATATCGCCCCCTTAGTGCAACAACTAGATAACTCGAAATTTATGCATTTTGAGTTATCCAGTTTAATATGTCCTATTTTTCATGCTCTTTTCAATGCAACAACTGGATATCATGTACGAGCAACCAAACCTATTTTTGAAGAGTGACTAAAAACAGACAACTCCCAATATATACATTTTATAACTAGAGATCTTGAGATATCTAGTTTTAGCACTGGTATTATTGAGTTATCTGCCGGCACCTTCTTGACTATGAGATATCTAGTTGTGTGCTTGAAACAACAGGTTTGTTTCTGTACTGCTAAATTGTTTTTACGGTGTCTTTTTAAAAGCCATAACTTGGTTAGTGGGCAGAAAATATGCTGGTTGAACTTTTCAATATCGACGTCATTTATTATTAATTTTATAGAAGATTTTGATGGGGAGTTTAGACGTCTAAATTTTAAACGTAAAACACGTATGTCGTCTTCAAATAATACCTAAGAGCCTTTGTATCAAAGTCAACTACCACTTAAAAAAAAATATGGCGACCTTATGTCTTTGTTCAAAATGAATCCTCCGGCCCTCCCTAGCGAGTATAAAGCATTTTTGAAAGTCTTCCATTCCAAGGAGACCAACGTAAACGGCCTTAAAACATGGAAGATTCCCAAACCGACATCATTGATATTGACACTTAAGTTTTATCAAGGGTGGAATCTTTTGGGTTTTATTTAAACTAATCTTGTTAATTTTTTATTCAAAATAAAGTTGTATTTAGTAGGTGATTTGCGTTTAATTGTTAGTGGTTATAAATAGATAACTTTACTCTTTTTTCAGAAACAATCAAGTTTTTGTTTAAATTCTGCAAAGATATAAAACCTAATTGTTTCCAAAATTAAGAAATCATATATTGATATGCAACATATCTGTATAGATATTAAATAGGTGTATTTTTTTGCGTTTTGAATCTTTAAAGTGGATTTTCTCAAAACTATAAATTTCAAGTTATCTAGTTGTTGCACTAAGGGGACGATATAATAGTAAGATTTATTATTATCTACTAATCATATTACAAATTACAATGTCTAATATATAGCACTAATGATTTATTTTTAGATAATGTTGAGGTAAATGATTTAACCTCATCGGACTACAACTCGAACTCCGGCCAAAACGTACAAAATTCAAATGGAAATTTTAGGATAAGTGACCAAAGTAAGTAATGAAGTAAGCAGTTATTTATGCTAACTTTTTACACCGTTTGTCTTTTAGAATGCGATGAATACAGTAGACCAGTTCAATCGGTAGTTTCAGTACTTCCTTTAGTTTCTGGCGTGCAGCCTATTCCTATTAAAGTTGCTAAATGTGACTATAACACTGTGCCCTTGATAGTTGGGGGAGCACCAGCGGAACCAGGAGAGTTTCCGTTCATGGTAAGTTCATAAATATATAAAAAAATAATAAAAACCATTGTATGTATGTATGTTTAACCACAGCACTAAGATCTTGCGACCCATTTTACATCTGTATCTGTAACGTGTGGAGGGTGGGTTATCCCACGACACTTCTGTGCCCATTGTGCATCCTCCTAAGATGATAGACACCTTTTAGATAGTGACCGCCAGCCTACAGATTTAATGTAGTTGACAACGTCGCCAAGAGGTGCTTCTCTTATATCGGCCGTGTTAGCCGATACTCGACGAACAAAAATCAATAAATGAAAGCGTTGGGCAATCGTAGAGGGTATGGTCTCATCTTCTTGTTCGCACCCTCTGCAGAGTGCGGATTCTGACAGCCTCTTGATATGGAGATGCTTCCGTACTTGGCAATTACCAGTCATAGTCAAGTATTTGTTTGCTGTAGTGTTATCAGGAGAATTTAAAAGCTCCCTGGCAACTCTGCAGTTTCTTGTTCCAACCTATCTTTCCTTGAATTTCACAAGGGAATGTTCTTTAATTAGATCTGCCACAACCTATTTTGTCAGGCCAATAGAAGGACCAGGTCCAAAAACTATTTGGCTGCTTTCTTGGCCAGTGAATCAGCAAGACGGTTACTTTTTGATGTGGCATAATCTTTGATTCATCTTAAGGTAACCACATTGTTGATGGATACTTTGGCCAAAGCTTCGTGACATTCTAATACGAATCCTGAGTAAATTCGTGATCTGTTTAGGGTGAGTAGTGCTTGTCTAGTATCTGTATAAATAAGCTATTCCTTCCAGTGATATTGTTTTTGGTGATTTATTTTGCTGCTATGAGAATCCCCGTGAGTTCTGTTTAAACCACACTTGCACTATAGCTCACAGGATCTGGAGTATATTCCATATCCTGAGCCTTGTTTTATTTTAGAACCATCGGTGTAGGTAGATATGAATCGTACCTGCCACTTCCGGTTCTTCTATTTATTCTGTTATAACTTTATATGGCTTATGGAAGATATATCTCGGTGAGTTGGAGTCCATGTTTGCTTGAAGCAGTGGGCGCGTATCGAGCGCCTCCTACCAAAACTACGTCTCGCTTCACCACATCCTACATCAGGTTATATTCCAACCGTGCGGAGGCGTGTCATTGTCATCAGAGCAACCCCCTTGATGTAAATATCAAGGAGAAAGAGACTAGAATGACTTCCATGAGTCTGGTCGGTGCGATTTTCATAGCTTTTGTTGAGACATGCTGTTCTTTGAATCTGTTTTAGTTTGCGGATAGCTGTCAATTTTTGGGTTTTCGGTACCCAGACAACTGCACCGTATGTATGCATAGGTCTTATGATGGCAGTATAAGTCCATGCGACGACTCTGTTGGAGAAACCCCAGGTGCGCCCCACGATTCGGCGGCATTGTTCATAAGCAATGTATGCTCTTTTGACTCTGTTTTCTAAATGTCAATTCCATGTTAATTTGCTGTCAAAGGTGAGACCTAGGTACTTCACCTCTGTTGCAAAGTTTAGTTTTGAGTTTAGGAGTTCTGGAAGCTTTAATTCCATTTCATCGTTCTTCTTGTGAAAAGGACCATTTTATCTATTTTTCATGCTGTTTAAAAGGCTAGCATTGCTATACATCCAAAAATTTAGAGGTGACTGTCGTACTTGTACTTCTTTACTATGAGGCATGTGCATTGACATCACATTCACGGGAAAATCGGCACCTTCCAGCGGCGCTTAATCCGATGGTTTTAGAGTGCTTAGATAATCAGCTAGCTGTCCGTATACTATTATTCATGTTTCTGTTAAGCTTTAGCAGCAAGTTAGTGTTTTTTGCAAAATACCAGCGTAGCCCAACCTCTCATCAAATCATTCTTTCAATGATCTTCCTCTGATCCATATAAACTCCTGGACAAAATTAACGCACCACTTTAATTAATCTAAATATTTACAATATAAACACAACATAAAACTAAGTTACATTGAAATAAAAATTAGTCGAATATGACCTTTATCTTATTTTTTCCATAAAAATTTGTTTTTGCTGGAAATGCATAAATAAGCTAGCATAACTCCAAATTGAAAAAAGAAAGAAAAAAAACAGTAAAAGAGAATAAATGCATCTAGGTCAACCCTAATACCGCATAGGCCCGCCCTCCTCTACTTCTTATCACTACATTCATGCATCGCGGCATGCTTGATATCAAATGTTCAACAAAAGCTTGCGGTATATTCTCCCATTCTTCAATAGCGACCTCTATGAGTTGGTTGTGATTATAGAAACAGGCGGTCTATGACTTCGAATCCTCTTTTTGAGATAGTCCCATAGATGTTCTATAGGATTCATATCCGGACTGTTAGGTGGCCACTCTAATAAAGGAATATTAACATCATGTAAGTAACCAATAACCTGTCTAGACACGTGGGGACGAGCGTTGTGCTGCATGAATAAAAAAAATGGGCCCAACAAACGGAGCAAAAGGCATTACATGTTCGACAATAATGTTGTCTAAGTAATATTGGGCATTCATAGACCTCGTACGTATAGGTATCAACTCCGTACGAGCATCGAAGCAAATTTCCCCCCAAAACATTTTAGAGCCACCACCAAAAGGCACATTAGGAGAGATATTACAGCTGGCAAACCTTTCTCCTTGTCTTCGCCAGACACGCTCACGTCCATCTGGAGCTTTAAGGCTAACTCTAGTTTCATCGGAGAACAGAACCCGTTTCCAATCATTGATGGTCCAACTCTGATGTAGTCTTGCAAAATTTAATCTCTGAACTTTGTGTTCTCTGGTAAGCAAGGGTTTTTTGGCTGGTCTTCTGTTGCTTAATCCTGTTTCATGTAAACGTCTTCTAACCGTTCGAGACGATATAACGATATTTCGAACATCTGCTAATTCATTTTTAAGCAGATTACTGGTTACTCTCCTATCTCTAAGAGCACGTTGTCTTAAAAAACAATCATCAATTTGATTAGTGCGACGTTTTCGCCCTTGTCCTGGTCTTCGATGGTACGAACCCGTTTCATTATGTCGCCTCACTATGCGACTGATGCTGGAGTGATGTCTTCCTAACAAACCAGTAACATATCGCATTGAATATCCTTCTTTCAGGGGAGTCGATGCTCGCATTGCCTCCTCCAGTGACAGATTTCTTTGACGGTTCATTTTTTTTACTTGATATTCTCCCAAATGAACTTCCAAACATGCATGTAATAAAAACAATTACAATCAACAGCTTGCTTCTAACAGAAACTTTGCTTTAATCAGCACTTTTTAAGAAAATGTTAAGACAGTTTTAGTCTGAAACGAGGTTTAATACGAATTACTGTCAAAACAAGGTATTACGTGACACTAGCTAGCTTAAAAAACAACTGTCACTGTCAAACAAGGTCCATGGCCTACTTGTCGTACAGTAAGTTGATCAATAAATAAAGATTATCGAGCAAAGTCATGCGTTAATTTTGTCCAGGAGTTTATTAACCGAATTCTTTGTAGAAGAGCTGCTCGACTCCCTTCTGGCAAGTGTATGAGCTTCTTCATTTCCCGCAATGTCCAGGTACCTAGACCAAAATTTACACAATTTATTCGATCTCGCAAGGTGTTCCTGAAAAATGCCAGTCGTACCCATGCAAATAAGAATATATGGATTACCTTTCGTTTATACCTATAATTTTTATTTATTTAGGTTCATATTTTTCTGTAATTCAAACAATCTATCATATCAAAAGTCTCACAAAGATCTCTAGATACTTGTTTATGGAAAGATGAGTAACACTCTCCTAATTGATACTATTTAGTTTAGTTTAGTTTGTGATAACTGTTCTACTTAAATCTTTAATCTCTTCCTGGAACCTATTCAAACTTTGGAGTAGCCATGTGTAAGTTAGTTTAAATTAAAAGGTATAAAAGAAAAAGGTCTTTAGATCTCACAAAGATATGTATTTTTTATATATTACGACCTCACCATAATCTCTTGTTCACTAGGCAATAGACTATAAATTACAATGTTAATAAAGGAGGCGAACGAACTAAACATTTCTTTAAATAATATACACTGTTGTTAAAAAACATTGGTACTTGTCAAGGGTTGAAATAATTTAAAATATAAAACGTTATACCGTTAACCCTCTTGACAAGTACCAACAGTTTATTTAAAAAAATGTTCAGTTCGTTCGCCTCCTTTATTAAAATTGTAATTTGTTCCCTAGTCAGTGGATAAGAGATTATGGTGAGTTTTTCCTTTATTATTTCTAAACAATTTCTAGTTTATTATCATTTTTTACAGTGATTATTTTTCCAATACTTTTTCAATATTCGTTAGCAGTTTTTTCATTTTTTTCTTTAGTATTGTTAATGTTTCTTAAATTAAATCATTGTTTTATCTTGGTAAAAATAGAAATTTCACCAATTTTCTTTTCTCATACCCACTAGGCGTGCCAGAAGATGGAGTTACTTCGAAACCGGTTGCAGTATATAAAAAAATAAATATCTTTGTGAGATCTAAATTACCTTTTTTTTTCTACCTTTTATTGAAATATTGATTGAAAATAATATGTCCCTCTATCATAATTTTAGTTACTTAATATTTTGATCTCCTGGTACTTATGAATTCCCTGTGCCTATATAAATATGTTCCAAAGAATGTCTTAGCTGTCCCAAACGATCTATTTGAATGTCAATTTTTAAACTTTTGTTTATTTTTATAGTATTTACACAAAAAATGTACTCAAGAAAATAAAAATTATTCATTTAAATTGAAATAAATATAAATCCAAGCCACTAAACTTAAAACCATAACAATGAGAAGAGTCGCTCAAAAGCGCATGTGCTGATAAATTGTACAAGAGATGAATCATTGATAATTTTGACAATCCGCCAACACATTCATGTACCAATAAGAAAATTCGTTGGAACGTTTTATAGGATTATCCGGACTATTTTCAATGCGGATGTATCTAACGTCTTTCTGATGATCAGAGAACCTATTCGAACAAACCTATAATCTAAATTTCTCTAGGTTTAATTATTTTTTTGTATTTATGCTAGTTTTTCCGTCGCCTTTAAATCCTTCTACATATCTTTCCTTATCCTCTTATAGCTGCCATTGTTAGAGGGGGCTCTTAAGACCGGCTCTTGCTAGGATTCCTCCTCTCTTTTCTTGCTTTGTGGGTTTGGTTTTGCTTCTTTTCGGTATCTTCATCTGAGCTAATACTATTGTCATGCAGGCCCATGCTGTATATGGAGCTATGTTTCAACTCTTCATCTTAACAGTTATCCTAAATTTCCAGTTCCATCTTATTTTTGTTATCTAACATTTCTATAATAGCTAGTTCATACTCCTGCCCGTTTGGAATAAAGAATTAATCCCCTCTATCTTTTGTGTCTATTTGTAAAACGTTTTTAGTTGTTCTGCCCATTTCTTTTTCTTGAGCATATCCGGAGCCGTATTTCCGGCTTCCTTCGGCTTTCCCAAATTCGTAGAACTGTCAGTTTTGATTTTTTTGAGTCTTTTTAATGTTCATAGCAGTTCCCACGAGTAGGGCAAAATTGTATGTCCAACGGAACAGTGCTCCCATAAGGGTTCTTACCCCGGAGGTTCGTTAAAATTATTGATTTGGTTGGATATGTAATTAAAAGGCCTTTCAAATGATGTAAAGTATGAATCACGTATCGCATGAAACACATTGCTATTTAAAAAATCATCAATAACGTCATCAACCTCACAAGTATGACGTCGTGAAAACAACGAATATCTAACAGTAAACGCGTTTGAAAATAAAAATCGACGCGATTTCTTCCAGAAGTCAACAATGAATGCATTCCTTTCATTTGCACCATACTGTGTAATTAAGAAAACCTAATTATTTAATTTTCTTACCTGGTTATTTCCGTTAATATAAATTGATTATTATAAACAAATCAATAGCTAATAATTTTCTATTAATAGTCATTAATAAAATCAAAAGTAGAATACACACAATATAAAATATACAGGGCGAGTTATATCTATTGTAAGTCAAATGGCACCATCAATCATCTTTGAGCCGCCCCAGAGCGCCACGGCAAATAATAATAATAGCCGTCCCTTTCCCCGCACAAGCTCAGCTTTTGAGGTTAAAATTCACTCGTAAGGGGGTGAATTAGAGAGAGTATTATTATTGTAGAGCAAGCGCAGATTGTACCAAAATATGAGCTTATTTGGTCCAATCCTTATATTTTAGTCCAAATAACCTACGCTAACTCTATGTCCCAATAATAGTTAAGACTCACCCTCTATAGGTAGTTATGAAACGTTTCGTTTTTTTATAATTAGTTGTAATTAATGTTTTAGGCCCTCGTTGGTTTCAATACCACATCTGATCCTTGGCGATGTGGTGGTACACTTATAAGTGAACGATTTGTACTTACAGCAGCTCATTGTACAGCTACAAGGGATGCGTGAGTATTAAAAGATGTTCAGGTTAAAAAATATGGTTTCTTAACTTCTTAAAATGTATTTTTTAGAGGCCCCCCTTCAGTAGTTCGTCTAGGAGAATTGGATTTAACTACAGAAAACGACGGTACTCAATACAGAGATTACTTAGTATCCAGAGTAATAACTCACGATGGTTACAATTACCCGGAAAAATATAATGACATAGCTTTATTAGAAACAAGCGAAAAAATAACATTTTCACAGTTCATCAGACCTGCTTGTTTATACGTTCACAAAGATATAAATAGCGACAAGGCTTTAGCTATGGGAATAGGAAAGAATGATTTTGCAGGAGAAGCCACCAATAAATTGATGAAAGTTACACTGGATCTATTTGATAATCGCAGATGTTCAAGAACATATCCAGCTAACAATAGAGAACTACCCAAAGGAATTGTCTCTACTATGTTATGTTCAGGGGTGCTAGCAGGAGGAAAGGATACATGTCTTGTAAGTTTTTATTAATATTAAGAAGTGAAAAATAATAAAAAAATGTGCACAGTGCTAAAACCTCTGTAGAAATACAGTAGTATGCATTTAGGGTGGATTGATTATATGCATTTGATTTATACCATATGCACACAACCCAGCGTTTAATGTTTTTTTAATGAGCTTAAAATTACATCGTCTCCTGCCATTATCGAAATAATATTTCCTATCAAGATATACTTTTTATAACTATACAGGGCGTTTGAAGTCTATTAAAAAGATCTTGTATTATCAACACCCACACTATAAATCAGGCCAATTTTTAAGATTTACTGGTTTGGGCAATTTCTCGCCCAATTTACAAATTTTCCCACCCAGTAAAATTGATTTGCCCAGCAGTAAAATAAATAATCATTTTTATGTGACTATATGAAAAACTATATAAATTAACATCTAATTTAAACTAATAATTTATTAATTTTTAAAAATATGAATTTCAAAATAATTTTATTTTGGGAATATTAAAATTTTGTACGTGGTCTATATAACATTTAACGAGTTATCTAAAATATTAGATAACTCGTCCAAACTGTCCAAAAAAATAACTTTTTATTTTGCAAAAAAATTCAATCCATTTTATCATTAGTTATATTAAAAAAATACCGTAAAATATAATGAAATCAGCAAAAATGATCCAAACTTCAAAAATTTTAATTATTTTTAAATCACAATACTTTTATGTTTTCCCTAATTGAAAAATATAAATAATTAATTTATCTTGTAGAAAATTTATATCCGATTTGTACGCTCCTAATTTTTATATATAACATTTTGCGAAACCATTAATATCTCGGATACAATATCATGCTTTAATAATACCACCCAGTAAAAAGATATTGAATGCTATGAATACCGAAATATTCTCAATTTTTTTTTAATTCTGTATTTGGTTTCGTTGGTGTGAGATCTGTAAAAACGTTTCGAATTCTTTATTTTCAGGGAGATTCAGGAGGTCCGTTGGTAATAACAAAGAAGGGAAATATGTGCCAATTTTTCCTTATAGGAATAACTTCCTTTGGTAGACTTTGTGGAGAACGCAATACACCAGCCATATACACTCGAGTCTCCGAATACATCGATTGGATTGAACAACGAGTCTTTACATAACTAAGGCTATTTTAAATTTAAATATTTTACACTCTTTTTATAGTGAATACAATAATTTGCCCCGAACCACTGCTTTTTATTTCACCACAAGGTTTTCTTATGGAATCCCTCTTAAAGTCCAAGAAAGGTCCTGTAAAATAATTCAAATTGTTTCAACTGAGCTATCAGTCGACCTCTGTTGCTGTATATTTTTTATTGTAGAAATGTCCTTACTGTACCAAAGTTAGTAAGGGGGTAAACTACATTCAAACTGTTTGTAAAACATATTTTTGGCTGGATAAACTGTGCCGATATTCCATTGTTTTTGATCAAAATCTTAGTTAAACCACAGACAATGGTTTAACATACTTTTCAAAGGGACGTTTATACAGATACGGAAAGTTAAACGCGGACCCCTTGCTTTACAATAACTTAGACAATGTATAATAGGGGCATATGTTTATTAAACAAAGACTGCTGATCACCGAGAACCGCCTTACTGCATACTTTAGCAAAGGTGTAGACTCAAGTTATGATCGATGACCACATATACCTTTACAGAAAAACGGTATCTGTGTAAATGAACCTCTGTGAATTGCTGGCTCTATTTTTTTTCCCTAGGAACATTTTAATAAAATAAAGGCAGTCTAATTTCATAGCTTGTAACGGTAACATTAATATTAAATACTGAATATAATTTATTTTACAGTGGTGTGTAAGGACCATTCACTGTCTATCAATCCTAAGAAGATTGAAATGGTCATTTTCACAAGGAAAAGGATGAAAATGGAATTAAAACCTCCAGAACTCCTAAACTTTGCAACAGAGGTGAAGTACTTAGGTCTCACCTTGACAGCAAATTAACATGGAACTCACACATAGAAAACAGACTCAAAAGAGCATACATCACTTATGAACAATGCCGCTGAACCATGAGGCGCACCTGGAGTTTCCCCACCATAGTCGTCGCACGCCCATCATAAGACTTATGCTTACATACGGTGCAGTTGTCTAGGTACCGAAAACCCAAAAATTAACAGCTATCCGCAAAACAAATTCAAAGAACAGCATGTCTCAACATAACAGGAGCCATGAAAACTGCACGGACCAGACTCATGGAATTCCTTCTAGTCTCTTTCTCCTTGATATTTTTACATCAAGGAGGTTGCTCTGATGACAATAACACGCCTCCGCACGGTTGGACTAGAACCTGATATAGGATCTAGTGAGGCGAGACGTGGCTTTTGGCAGGAGGCGCACGATACGCTCCCACTGCTTCAAGCGAACATGGACTCCATCTCACCGAGATATATCTTCCATAAGCCATAAACAGAACAAATAGAAGAGCCGGAAGTGGCAGGTACGATTCATATCTACACCGACAGTTCTATAACAAAACAAGGCCCAGGATATGGAATATACTCCAGATCCTGAAACCTTAACATAAAATGGGCTGTGAGCAATAGCGCCAGTATAGTTCAAAAAGAGCTCACGGGGATTCTCATAGCAGCAAAATAAATCATCAGAAACAATATCACTGGAAGGAACATGCTCATCTATACAGATAGCAGACAAGCACTACTCACCCTGAACAGACCACGAATTTACTCAGGGTTAGTATTAGAATGTCGCGAAGCTTTGGCCGCAGTATCCATCAACAATGTGGTTACCTTAAGATGAATCAAAGGTTACGCCACAACAAAAAGTAACCGTCTTGCTGATTCACTGGCCAAGAAAGCAGCCAACCAAATACTTTTTGGACCTGGCCCTTCTATTGGCCTGACAAAATCGGTAGTGACAGACCTAATTAAAGAATATTCCCTTGTGAAATTCAAGGAAAGATGGGATAAAATAAGAAACTGCAGAGTTGCAAGGGAGCTTTTAAGTTATCCTGACAACACTGCAGCAAACAAATACTTAACTATGACTAGACAGAATCTGCGCCTAGTCACAGGCATTCCGACTGGCCATTGCTAAGTACGGAAACATCTCTATATCTTGAGGCTGTCAGAATCAGAACTCTGCAGAGGGTGCGAACAAGAAGATGAGACCATCGAGGATTCCCTCTACGATTGCTCGATGCTCCTATTTATTAGGAGATTTGTGTCCGGCGAGTATCGGCTAACACCGGCCGATATAAGAGAAGCACCTTTTGGCGACGTTGTCAACTACATTAAATCTGTAGGCTGGCTCACGAGCTAAGAGGTGCTTATCATCTTAGGAGGATGCACAATGGGCCTAGTGAGGCCTAAGTGTCGTGGGAGTAATCCACCCTCCACACGTTACAGATAATTTATTTTTGGTTCTAAAAGAAATCCTTTAATATTGGCAGTTAATTTTTGAGTCTTAGCTTGTTATAGATGATGCACTAATGTTCTGTATCTAGTTCGATCTTCATATGAAGCGTCATTAGCTATAGATATGCCGGTCCCTTTTAGTTTATTTACATTTTTAAATATTTCCTTCTTCCGTAGGAATGATACGAATTCTAGGACAATATGGCTGCTGTTATTATCTTTGGTACTCAATAAAAATATATTGTTTATGTCTTGACACCCAATTTGAGTCTCTAGAAGATTGTTTAATTTTTCCAGTACTTCAATTAACAGATGGCTTGTTTTTCACGACCAACCCAAATATAACTATGTTGTTTTTCTTTGGAATTGTGTTTGAACAGCAGTTATTTTTATGTTATCTATATTTGTGTTATCTTCTACATCATTTTGAAGAATGTCACTTACAACGGGTAAATACTCAACTTACAGTGGTAGATATTAAGTCTACAAAACAGCAAAGGGATTCTCATCTTTCAATACAGCATATGTCGAGACGCTTATCTTCGTTCGACAGACTGCGATTCGTATGTAATGTCTCTCTCTATTCAACACGTAACGTGTTGAGTTCGCACATAAGAATTCCTGTGCAAAAATGAAACATCGGTGCAGTCTACTGTCCACCCAGACACAATCTTAAAACCCTATCTAACCCTTCTGCAACATCCTGGAGACGGTTTATCGTCGGGGGGACCTTAACACTAAACATGTTGACTGGGGATCCAGATTAACTACGACCAAAGGTAGTGAATTAAGAAAAGCTGTCCGTCAAACAAATTGCAATTATCACTCTACAGTTTAATCTACCCACGGATCGAAACAAAATTCCAGACTTGCTAGATATCTTTATTTCAAGAAAAATTACTCTTAACTTTATTGAAGCTGAAGAAAATTTTGATTTAGACTGATCATTCAATTTTAATTATGACCTTGAGTGAAACAGTTATTAAAAGAGCATCCCGTCCTACTCTTACCAACAAAACTACTGACTGGGAAAGCTTCAGAATTGAACTTCAAAACAAGATCAATCTGAATATGTTTGAAAACAACTGGCTGTTGGACAGAAACTCAAAACTGTAAATACATAATAAAATATTAATCTACAACCAGATTAAGACCGGAGAGGCTTTACGGCATTAATTTATGGGGATGTGCCAGATATAGCAGGATTAATTCTATCCAAACCTTTCAGAATAAGTTAACATAAAGTAAACATAAGGTTTGTTCCAACACGCGCGAAAACCGTAATATTACGGTACAAATTATGCGCTCTACGCAAAAATTTTATACAGCGCAAGATTTGTACCGTATTATTATGGCTTTCGTATTGTTAACGCTCCTAGGTATGTGTGCAATGCAGATCTTCATCAAGACCTTGGAATTCCAACAGTGAAAGAAATCAATAAAGGTTTGCTGGTAAGCATGAAGCTAGACTTCACCTACATACCAATACAGAAGCTGCTGGACAATCAGGACAATAACCGACGATTAAAGAGGACCAAGCCATTTGATCCCGTGTAGTGTGTTGTGTATGTATGAAATCACAACAAATCTAATGAATTAAAGGTACAAATAAACCTCCTTGCTGTGACAAACAATAGCCAAATCTATTATACAAACATAATCTCGTATCTTAGAAATGATCTAGAGCAGTCATACTCAACCTGCGGCCCGCATGCGGCCCTACAAGCTTTCTTTGCGGCCCGAAACACTATTATTGGTCGCAGCGCTAAATAACATATTAATACATTAACAATATGCACAAACAAGATGGAGTGGCATTTATACCAAAACATAATCATAACATTGTGTTCAATTGCTAAGTGTATCTACCAAAACCAGATAATAGGCATGTAACTTATGTTTGCTAAATATATTCAATCCGATTCCTAATAGTGTTTCTGCCAAAACAAGATAAAGGCCAGAACCGAGGAGAAACCACTAAGGTCAAAACGTACCTGTATTTCGGAAATCACATAAAAACTTTTTATGTGATTTCGGCGATTTCACTGAAAAAACACCTTAATGATGATGATCTTTTTTCTCGGCCATGATTTTCGATGAAGATTTTGGAATTTTCGAGAAAATTTGTAGCGATTTCGATGACTTCGAGTGAAAAAGTACCAGTATTTCGGAAGTGTTTACCGCTACTTATTTTTGTTGAATGTGTTTGAAATACAGTAACATTGTGCCCACGCCATTTGTTTTGTTATGACTAGAGCCGTCTCTGGCCTTTTTCGATTGTTCCGAAATCCATTACATGATTACGTCACCCTTTTTTCCGCGAAACAGCTTACCTTCAACAACCACTAGATAATAATACGTGATTTCCGAATCTCCGTAGTGAACGAGTGATTGGTCAATATGTAACAGGTGATTGATCAAGCTGTAACAAGTGATTGGTCAAGCTGTAACGAGCGAATCTTTATGTGAAAATTTGTAAATAAAAGTATTAGTGGTAACAGGCGAATTTGAATTTTAACCATACTTTTTAATAGACAACTTGTATCGAAAGATTCAGATATCCTAAGTACATTCCACCAGAAAAATAGATTTAATTTATCAAACTTGCACATTATTTATTCAGAGGGATGTATGAAAGGATGAAACAAAGTTTTGAAAATACTGCAAGAAGGATTTTCTAAATTATGATGAATTTCACCATTATTATCACAATCTACCTGTATCCAATAATGTTAAAGAATTATGATTTGTATGTAGAGCTAAAATAAGCTAAGTAACGTTTTTATTTCTACCAATTATTGATAGATTCTTATACTTTGTGAACAATGTTTTCGATGCCTTCTTCATTGAAGTTAATACAGTTTGAAGCTTTTACTGATTTTTTTAATTCAATTTTAAACTTTTGAACAGTGTTTTATCGAAACTCTAAAAATGTGAGTTATCTTGTTTTTGCAGTAACCCAACGGGATATATTTGTTTTGTGTTTTATTTATTAGAGGTCCCTACTAACTAATTTTAGATAGATGGCCTAAAAAAAAGGTCATCATCCAAAAATATTGCGGCCCGTGTGAATGTGGCCTGAAGAAAAAAAGGTTGAGTGTGGCTGATCTAGAGTAATGTTTGCACAGTGTTGGATACTTTTCTGCCTTAATGCATTGAGATTTGTTGCTCTTTCAAAAGCGTGTCGATACACTGTCTCTCTAAGAAACCCTCACAAATCATTAGGTTATAAATCTGGTGATCTTGGAGCCACTTGATCAAACCATGTGTAGATTGAGATTAAATGGTCTCTAAACGTAATTTTGAGAAATTCTGTCACTGTCCGTGAATTGTGACTTGGACAACCGTCTTGTTGAAACCAAACTTCTCTAAAATTAACAGGCAGTTGCTGAATTGCCGGAACAATCTGTGCTTGAAATACATCTAAATATTTGGCACCTTTTAGGTTACCGTCAATAAAAAATCTGATGTGTCCAACACATGACTTTCTTATCTAGTTATTACAGGCTTTTTCCGGTTATTTTGTACAACCTATTGCAGCACCTCCATAAATGTTTAGAGGATAAAATAAATATATACATTTTCCACATACATCTACCTCGAAACATTTTTCTATAGATATTCATTGAAAATGAAAATACTGAAAAATTTAAATTTAGCACTTTTCCTACAATTTTTCCATTACGGTCCATTTTAGAAAAATCATGTATAAACAAAAATTATAGAGATCGATATCGCAAACAACTTTTATTTCAACAATTTTCATAAAAATCAGAATTTTGCACATTTTGTCAAATTTCTCGAGTACGGACCATTTCAGGAAATTTTGACATAAAACAAAAATTATAGATAATAATATTAGAAATAACTTTTATTTGAACAATTTTTTTCTCCAAACATAAATAACAGATATATTCCATAAAATATAAAAACGGCCCCCTATAAAGTACCCCCCAGATGTTCCGACTTTGTCCAAAATCTAATCATTTCACGTCAGGCCGAAATAAAACTTAAGTTTAAAATTTAATGTTTTTTTCTTCATCCGTTTTTGAGTTTTCTTCAAATTTCAAAATTTACACATTTTCTCAAATATCTCGAATACGGTCCATTTTAGAGAAATTATGTATAGGATAAAAATTATAGAGAATTATATTACAAACAACTTTTGTTTGAACAATTTTTATAAAAAAATATTTTTTTACATTTTGTCAAATTTCTCGAATACGGACCATTTTAGGAAAATTTTGTATAGAATAAAAGTTTTAGATAATAATATAAGAAGTAACTTTTATTTGAAGAATTTTCTTCCCCAAACGTAAATAACAGATATATTCCATAAAATATAAAAATTACCGCCTATAAAGTACCCCCCCAGATGTTCCGACACTGCCCAAAATCTAATCAGCACATTGGACGCTGAAACAAAGCTTAAGTTTGAAATTTGGTGTTTTTCTGTGTATCGGTTCATGAGTTATGCGACACACAGACAGACATACAGACACACACACGTCATCGCGAAAATAGTCAAAACGGATTCAGGGGACCTCAAAACGTAAAAATCCGTCGAAAACTCGAGGTCGAAAAAAATCATGATTCCTATACTTTCCTTATATCTGTATACAGATAGGAAAGTAAAAAGGGACCTATGATACGGTCGTCAAAAATTTCCGTCCACAGATTTAATTTTTGTGGACGTTGAGTACGCACAGGGATAATCAGGTGATCATTTTCCGAGACCAATATCGTGCAACGCATTGATTGTGTTTTGTCTACAATAAGTCGAATCATCTGTAAATGTGTTTAAAGAAATTAAGATTTTTATTGCATTTTTCCATCCGTTGAATATTATCCTCTGGAAAAACTTAGTTATTCGGAGTTTATAACAGTTTGTTTTTAAAATATTCCGAACAGTTTTTTGATTTATGTTAAACTTGTTTCGCAATTTTAGTACTAGAACCAGGTTCGATGGTTTCAATAACATTTATTTTCTTATTTTCACGCTACACTTTCCCTGATTTTATCCGTGGTTCTTCGTCGATGTTATTGCATTTTCGACACTTCTGTACACATCCACATTTCTCAAACTTTTGAACAATTCGAACAATTGTGGAATGTTTTCAAATGCAGCAATAAACAAATTTATTATATCTTTTATCGAGTGACCTCCAAAATACCATTTTAAAATCTGTATTTTTTTATTCTTTATAATTAATTGTATATTGCACGAATCTATATTATTATTAATCTTCATGGATTTAGTAGGTACTAAGTACCTCACGTGAGCTTCGTGGCTTGGCCATTTGCTATGATTGAACTGAAAATTGCGCATACGACAACTCGACAACTGGAACAAAAGACGAGCGTAAGTTGGTGGGAGGGATGGGAGACATACATATTCTGTAACGGACATTCCTATCTTAGCAGTTGCATTTGTTTGTTTTAAATATTTTCCTGTTATACTTTATCCAATTCATTGTAAAACAGAAGGTCCGCGTTTAACTTTCCGTATCTGTGTTTCAACTCATTTTGTGATAAAAAAAACACTTGGCTGACTCTTCAAATATTTAACTATATTTAAAAAATGTCTAGCTACACATTTATACAAAATTATAATCAATCTCACTTGTTAATAAAAGTTGCATTTGATTTAGTATCCAAATTTGGGGTTTATAAGAACCAATAAATATATAATTCTATATGAGCCTCTTTTAATCACAAAATAACAACATAATCAACAACTTGTATAAAAAGCAAATAACAAAATATCACATTTTTAAATGAACCGTGATTTTCAGACTCCTAAAAGGGCATAGCATAGTCAACCTTCCCTTATTAAAAAATATGTTTTTTCCAAGTAGATTTTTGGAATAATCCATATCTGGTCACTCTCAAAAACTTGTTTTGGAATAATAAAAATATTATCTGATTAAAAAAATCAGTTTTAATCAGAAAGAGTTTTCCAATATTTACAGGACTATATCTTTGAAATGTACATAAAAATATGAGGTAGATTGTCATACAAAAACATCCTCAAACATAAAATATGTATAAAAAATATTACTAATTTTGAATAGATACCTGAAAGCCTCTCAAATTATTTTCTGCGACAAGAATATACATCTTTCTTCTCTGATAAACAATTAATTAGTGTACTAAAATTTATTGATTCCCTTCTTACATTATTATACTCCTCACATAAGTCTGTGAAGTGTATTATGGGTTCACTTTCGAGAAACCAAAATTTGTATTGATCCAGATTTAAAAATTGTTGTACCAAAATCCATCTCATCAAATTTTAAACAATTGTTTAAAAATGTCCATCCGTCCGATGTCACTTTTTTTATTCACATGATAAGTCAAAAACGAAAAATGATATCAACTTGTAATTTTCAAGAAAAATCAAGCTCTATAAAGGGGCGAAGCCTATTCATTTTGAAAAAAACTCTGAATAGAAAAGGGGGTTAAGTGGAGTTGAACTTAAAAAAAAATCATAAATCAATAACGAAAAATGATATAAATTTGAAATTTTCACGAAAAATCAAGCTTTGTAAGGGGACAAAGCTTATGAATAAAAGTGGGGGGTTAAGGGAATTGAAACAAAAAAATTAATCAAAAACGAAAAGCGATATCAACATGAAATTTTTAGTAAAAATCAAGCTCTGTAAGTGGACGAAGTCTATTTATTTAAAAAAAACCTAAATAAAAATGGGCGGATTACGGAGGGTTGAACTTAAAAAAAAACATAAAGCAAAAACAAAAAATGATATCAACTTGAAATTTTCAAGAAAATCAAGTTATGTAAGGGGACAAAGCCTATTAATAAAAATGGGGGTTAAGGGAGATTGAAATTTAAAAAATCATATTTCAAAAATGAAAAGCGATATCAATATGAAATTGTTAGTAAAAATCAAGCTCTATAAGAGGAAAGTTTATTGATTCTGAAAAAAATCTGAATAAATATGGGAGGGTAAACGGGGCTAGAAATATTGAAAAAAATCATAACTCAGAAACGAAAAATGATCAATTTGAAATTTTAATCCAAAAACAAGCTCTATAAAGACACGAAGATATTGATTTTGAAAAATCTGAATAAAAATGGAGGTTAAAGGGGACTGAAAGTTAAAAAAAAAATCAGAAATCAAAAACTCAAAAGTGTCAACTTGAAATCTTCAGTAAAAATAAAGACCTATAAGGGGCTAAAGCTTATTGATTCTAAAGGAAATCTGATTAACAATATGGGGGTTAAGGGGATATTTTAAACAGTGAAGAGTATAATATATAATGCCAAACATTATATGTGACGTGGTCTATGAAAAGGGAGCTTATGTTCGAAAACAAGTATTTGACAAAACAGCTGTTATAGGTAAATAACCCTTGACGTCCTTGAATATAGGTAGATACCAGGCAACCCGGAGAAAAGGGAACAATTAACGAGAATCTGACGAAACAAATTTTTTACTTGTTTGTCTTTAAAAGCTGTTTTGTCGAAAACTTGGTTTCACATGTAAGCCCCCTTTTCATAGACCAGGTCACATATATCTTCATTCTAGCATTAGTTTTGGTGCATCAACAAAAAAATGATAGCACAAAATTAGAATTATTTTGCTAATTTAAAGGACTGAAGATGTATTTTCTTAGTACGTACAAATGTTTAAAGTATTAAATAAAAATTGTTTGCCTTGTTTAGAGACTAAGGCCACTCATCAAACAACTCATCATGAATAGTATGCCACTTTAATCCATCCCCTAGAGGTTCATGAGCTGATGGTAATAATACGTACTTCGCAAATGACCTATAACAAAAATAAGACAAGTCCACTTTTAAAAATATGAAAATGTATATTTATAATAATAATAATAATGACTTTATTGCTCATAATCTCACATATAATATATACAAAGAAAACAAAGGGAACGAGATTACATACACATCGAGCAATGGGCGAAGTTCGCACCTTTTATATACCCTAATTTATATTAATATTTAGACCATTAAGTGTTAAATGCATATTGAATAATAAATTATGACTATTTCTTTTAAAAATATCTAAAACTAAAAAGAATAAGAAAGTTACAAATGCCAGGGGTAATGTCCAATTTATTTTTTATAATTGATATTTAATAGAGCCATTGAACAGAGAATTTTTTATTTTACGTTAGAAAGTTAAAATTGGTAAAGACTTTGTTTCATTTGGAATCGGTGTTGTAGATTTTAGCTATATTATATGAAAAGCTTGCGTGATATAAGGAAGTCCTGTATTTTGGAAGAGATAGATTTTCTTTGAACCCTACTTTAATATTATGTACTTCAGACCTTTTTTTAATTTTCTCGTACAAATAGGCAGGCTTTTTTGACATTATTTTATGATACAAAACAAAAGCATGCAAAAGTCTTCTATTATTGAGATTTAACCAACCTAAAATCACCATATGTTGTGAAGTTGACTGACGTCTTCTTACACCACATATGAACCTCTATTTTCTTGCAAGAAATTAAAAATGTTACTTACATAAAGTTCTAAGTATAATAGTTTTTAATTTATGTTTACAAACTGAATTTTCCCTACTACCTTAGCTAAATACTGTATACATACCCATAAAAAAAATTATTTTACCTTCCTTGAACAAGTCCCAAAAATATTTTCCAGTTTTTACTTTTACCAAAATTATACGGATTTGCATATGTTCTACCCAATTCCTTCATTCGTATGGTTTCTGCTTTATTTATATTTGCCTCTATACTCGTTTCACCTTTGCTTATCAATTGTCCATGCCACAGTGATAACATGCCCAACGCCAAAAAAACGCCTAAAAAAAAAATAGAAAAAATTGGATAATATATAACACTTTTAATCTTTGATGTACAATGAATAATTCTATGCATGCTCTCTAAATATTAATTAAAAATTAATTGTAAGACATTCTTCAAAGCAATTCTTTTTGACTTACCACAATTGATAAGGGTCATATAGACAATAGCTCTCCGTCTCCAAGGGCTTATATATTCCTCATTTGGCTCATCATCCAAAAGCGAAGTATCTAAATACTCTATGTCAGTCTGAAATATGGGATTATTATAAAGTAAATGCACATTCATAATTTTTCTTCTTAAACCAACAACAAAACCCAAAAGAAATTCCATCTATATGGAGAACCAAACCATTAACTGAAAAGCCCATCTTAATTTGTCAAAAACTTAATGCATATCCCTTATTTTATGATGACCTAAGGTAAAATAGAATAGAAATAATTTCCTTATTTAGTACAATTAATAAACAGTTGAATGGAAAATGTCAGATATAGCTTACATATCAAATAATGTACATAAAAGTAAAATACAAATAATAGAAACAGATTAAAATTGACCAAATATACTCATCTATAACATAAAGACAATAATTTTTTTTTTTTCATTTAGGCAACTTTAAGTTATAAGAAATGTTGGATATTCTTACCACAGGTATGAGAGCTCCAGTTTGGTTGAATTTTACAGGATGTCCCTCTAGTTCCGGTTCATCTGAATCAACAGATGTTAGAAAAATGGCTGTATAGGCAATATCAAATCCACAACATATTATAAATAATACTCCTACTACCATATATACCATATAGAGAAAAAAATATCTGTGATTCCTGTAACCTACACAATTATTTAACCAAGCTGTTTAATTAAATAAGGAAAAATATTTTTTAAATGCTATTTGGTTTTACATTTTTTTATTTTAATTGTTCATAAAGGATACGGCAGTGATGATCCATTTTTAAAATACATCGATTGCATACAGAACAGTGATGTGTTCTTGGAGGTTTAGGAGAAATGCATTTCTTACATATACTAACAGCCTCTGTTATAAGTTCACCCTATATATTAAGAATAAAATTATGACCTGTGTTACCAAATTATTTATAATCTTACTTGTGGGGGAAAGCCTGGAGGAGTGACTACACCCATGTAGTAATGAAAACATATGTTCAAAAGGATCCAGTGTCCTATACTGACTAGAAGAATGCAGACTACTGTATTTCTATTCCACCAATATGGAATGCCTATCCAATAAGCTATTAAAACTACTGATGCAGTTAAACCTATTACAGCAACAACAAATATCTACAACATAAGTATTGTATTATTTACTGACTGCAGTTTCTGCTAATGGAATTCATTAATATTCATTCCGAGATTCATTCAATATCAAATATCAGAGAATAATTTAATAACAATTCATTTTTCTATTACTAGGTACTTATGCTTTCATACTTACAGGTCCAATAGCATGGGTAAAGTTATCTACAAACCAAAACATAGGTTCCATGCAAACATCTGCTGCATAACTTTGGTCCATAAAATGATTGTAGGTAAGGGAGCGAAATGTAACCAGGCATTTTTGGAAAAATGTTTTAATGAAGTAACTGAAAATTAAATAAAAAGGTAATCAAAATAGATAAAAGTTGATTTTAAAATAATTTACAGAGCTCTGATGAAACAAACTTAACAAAAATAAAGGGAAATTTACAGTTGGAATTATTTTCTTGAATTGGAAATATTTTATTCAATTATATCTGTATTATTTTTAAAATATTTACTCACTAAGAGTATGCAGGTATTCTTGAGAAAGTCCAGTGTATGGTAATCATTTTAAATATGCTATAATATTATTATCATCATAACTTAACTTTCATTATATAAATTATTGCTGGAAACGTGATCATCTAATTAACAAAACAAATGCTGGAAGCATTATAGTCTACTTCATTTATACAAAATAAACATTTTTTCATTTCTCCCCTTATCATTTGATTTGAAAATCATAACCTCAATTTTGTGACAGTTCTGGACGCAATAATGTATATAGTTATATAGATTGCTCAACCATATGCACGTTAAGACATACACGTTTCTATGCTTCGTGTAAACAGTTGCGATGACGGTAAATTAATTTAACATATTATCTTTATAGAGTTTGTACTTTAAATAAATCTAGCATTATTATTCCAAACATTTTTAAGTCAGGTATTGAAATTATTTTAGGGTAAAATATGTTATGTTATGACACATTTTTACTTCAACTTGCACAAATAACACTACGTTTTCATTTGGCATATTTGACAAAACTAAACGCAAAGCGAACATTACAAATCACAAAACATCTGTCAAATTTAAAATTTCGTTTTAAGAAAATTTTGTATGAGACAAAAATTATAGAGAATAATATTAGAAGTAACTTTTATTTAACGAATTTTCTTCTCCTGGTGTAAATAACAGATATATTTCATAAAATATAAAAACGACCTCCCTATAAAGTACCCCCAGATGTTCCGACTTTGCCCAAACTCTAATCAGTTTTCTTCAGGCCGGAATAAAGCCTAAGTTTAAAATTTTGTGTTGTTCTCTTCATCCGTTTTTGAGTTTTCTTCAAAATTCGAAATTTATACTTTTTTCAAATATCTCGAATACGATCTATTTTAGAGAAACAACTTTTATTTGAACAATTTTCTTAAAAATTAAAATTTTTTAAATTTTGTCAAATTTCTCAAATTTTGTATAGAACAAACATTAGAAGTAACTTTTATTTGAGGAATGAATCACGATTTTTTTCGACCTCGAGTTTTCGACGGATTTTTACGTATTGGGGTCCCCTGAATCCGTTTTGACTATTTTCGCGATATGTGTGTGTGTGTGTGTGTGTGTGTGTGTGTGTGTGTGTGTGTGTGTGTGTGTGTGTGTGTGTGTGTGTGTGCGTGTGCGTGTGCGTGTGCGTGTGCGTGTGCGTGTGCGTGTGTGTGTTTGTCTGTTTGTGTGTGTATGCGTGTGCGTGCGTGCGTGCGTGGGTGCGTGCCTGCCTGCCTGCCTTCGTTCGTGCGTGCGTATGTGTGTCATAGTCTGTCTATGAGTCTGTATCCACGATAATTTAAAAACAAATAAAGAAAACAACACCAAATTTTCAACTTAAGCTTTAATCCATCCTGCGGTGGGCATAGGCTAAACATCTGGGGAGGTAATTTATAGAGGACCGTTTATCTACTTTAAGGTATATTTCTGTTATATATAATTATTGAAGAAAATTCTTTGGATAAGATAATTATTTGTTTCTCTAAAATGGACCGTAATGGAGAAATTATTTGAGAAAAAATGCAAACTTTTAATCTATCAGTAATTTCGTTGGAAATTATTGTGAAAAAAATTTATTTGGAATAATTTTCATCTTTAATTCATATTCTTAATAGTTTTTGATTGTATGGGCCGTACTCAATATATTTTATTACTTTATAGGAAAAAGTCATGTGTTGGACACATATTTTTATTAGACTAATAAAATATTTCGTCATTACAAAAGCCATAGTCAACATCATTATTTTTTTAAACGTTATATTAAATAAAAATAGAGAGATAATATAAATACAATAGAACAAAGAGTTTCTCATTGTCATCTAAAATAAAAATATTCCTGAAAATTTAAAATTAAAATAAATATATATACAGGGTTCCATTAGTGCGTAATTGTTCAATATTTTTAATTTGTGTTATAGACACGCAAACAAGTTTTAAATAAAAGTTATATGGATTTGAAAAATATTTTAAAAATATTTTTGAATATACAGGGTGTTGTGTTTGCGCCTGGCAAATAAAAATGTATGTTTTTTAAATTAAACTCCCTGTGTTTTATTTTATTTTTAGAATGGTTTGGTAATATTGTATTCAACACTAAAATGTTTTAAAAAAATATTAAAGTGTTACCAAACAATTTTTTTTTGAAATTAGAGGATGATGTAGACCCCAAATTAAATTATCATAATTTAGGTAGGTTTACATTGATTTCAAAATTGTTTAATATTTTAATATACAGACTTATAAGATACTAAGCTAACGAATAGAGGTGATAGAACTGGTTTATTGTACAGAGTGTTTTGAAACATGTCTTAAATACGGCTAATTTTAAGTTCAATTTACTAATTTTTTTCAATTTGCCTATGCAACAATACCGCAATGTATTAGCCAATAAAACACATATACATAGTGTCCCATCAGTGCTGTTTTATTATTAGAAATACGAAGAAATTTTTAATGTAAAAGTTATATTACCATATTTAACAAATATTCTTAAATATAAAGGGTGGTCCATAAAAGAGGTACTGACCAAATCTATACTTTTTTTAAAGCAAAACACCCTGCATGTAAATATACATAGTATATTGTTTTCACATCGTCAAACAATTTTAATTGACTTCATTTATTTGCTATATGTTATATATAGGGTGTGTCAAAACGTGAGGTTACGATTTTCTCAACTTTTTAAATGAAATACCCTGTATTAATTAATTGGTGCTATGATGGGTGATTCTCGCCTAACTGTGATTTTTACAACTTACATTTTTTAAAATTAAAAATGTTTCAAAACGTATGTTTTACGCGTTTTTGTTTTCTATTTATGCATAGAAATAAGCCTGTAAAGTGGTTCTACTACAGCTACGATACAACGAAAACTGTGACAAAATTTAAAAATTTTAATGCCACGGTACTGACATTATTTCCACGGTACTGACATATAAATGATTATTTGTTTTTTACCAATCCAGAGATTGGTATAAAATTGCAATAAAATTCAATGCAGTATGGATTAGATTGTAGTTATAAGAGGTAAATTTTGTATTAAAAAATGAATTTTGATAGACATTTATATATTTAATTTTAAAAATGAGAATCGGACATGCCACGGTACTGACAATTCGAGTATATTTATATGCAGCTTAAAAAAAATTACGAAGGTTTATGATCTAATTCATAATGTCGGTTGTAAAATACCTCTAAATTTATAAAATTATTAACTTTTTGATGAGGAAAACTTATGCTAAACGATAAATAAAACACTGGACATAAAAAAATCACAGTTAGGCGAGAATCACCCATGTATTCCATTTAAAAAAATGACAAAATCGTTACCCCTCATTTTGAAACACCCTATATACAACATAGCAAATAAATGAAGTCTATTAAAATTGTTTGACGATGTGAAAACAATCAAATATAAAAATGTATAAGTTTGGTCAGCCCCTCGTTTTATGGAGCCACCTGTATATTTAAGAATATTTATTGAACATGGTCATGCAAATATTAACTTTTTTATTTTCACTAATAAAACAGCACTATTGGGACACCCTGTATGTGTTATTGGCTAACATGTTAGCATCGTTGGATAGGTAAATTTATAAGGAATTTTATGCCAAAATAATATATGTATGTGTTATTGGCTAATATGTTAGCATCGATGGATAGATAAATTTATAAGGAATTTTATGCCAAAATAATATACAGGGTGTTGCATTTGAAAAAATTGAGTAAATTGAACTTAAAATTAGTCATATTTATGACATGTTTCAAAACACTGTATATAAAAAATAGTTCTATCATCTCGGAAATGGAATGATCTACAAGGATCAACCAGAAGTCCCTTTTTTGTTACAAATTGGGTGAGAAATAATTATTAATCTTAAATTTTATGAAATATAGGGTGTTTAAAAAGTTTTGATTAAAATTGTTTCCTTATCTCTTGATTCTACCCCAATAGGTTATCGTAATTTATCGAAATAGAGTGTGTTAACTAATAATAACGATTAACTTATATACATATTTTTAAGTTAAAGGCTTTAGTTTAAGGGAAGATATTTAGAAAATTATGTATTTATGAAATTCACTTTATCACCCTGTAAAATAAAAACTGGGACGTTTATAGGAAAATTATATTGGCTTTTCTTTATAATTAGTTGAGATCTACAAATCCTCAATTACGGTACTTTATTCTGAAACACCCTGTATAAATAAATAAAAAATTAAAAACTTCATTATAAAACTCACTCTTTTTTCTGGAAATACACATGAACTTTAGACGTTGCATTTTGCATTGTTACCATATTTTAAGATAACACAGCTCTGCGCATTCACCAATAATGTGTTAAGTGTTACCCCCCAAGAAAACAATCCAGCTACGCGCTTGTACAAAAGCTACAAAACAGGAGAATGCACGTACTTCTAAAATGTAACAAATACATGCTAATTAAGCTAATGTTAGACACCTGCTTAAACTGGATATCTGTAAATGATCGCATTTTTTATTTAGCTATGGATTTTATATTTAAAATTATTCATTCTGAAACTCCAACGAACTTTAACCAATTTATCACTACCTATACTAAATTCACACATACCTACCCTACACAATGACCCATTATTTAAATCAGAACTTTTAAAATTTTTTATATTTCAAAATAACACTGATATTTTAAAGGTATGTAATGGAAATAAAACCTTGTTATATTGGTAAATTTTAATTGGGTTAGGTAGTTAAAATTTTTATAATGAATCTTTTCAATAATAAATTAATATTTATAATGTAATTTAACAGTAAAAAAATATATTTGTACATTAGGCTTGCGTAAATAATAAAGATTTATTCCTTACATTATTGCGAAGCGGGGAAAAAATTATCACAAAACAATACGCGTTACAATACGCAATTACTTAATGATAATGTCTCTTTTCTAGGAAGTAATATCTCAAATTGTTTTCAAATTAAATTAATATTTTTCAATTGAACCCCTCTCTAAGGTAAGAATGATGAAAAGCATGTGAGGACCAAACTTTTTGCGCAAAAATATTAAAATATACAATCGACGCTCACTACTTGGCGAGTGTAGTATAGAAACCAGCGTTTCATTCAGTAAAGTATCGAGTGATAGACCGCAAGTCGCTTATTGCATCAGCTCTCAGCCATGAGCATCAACATAGCGGAACTTCAGACAGAAGTTTTCTATGAAGAAACGAATGCCTTATGGGTTTTTGCTTATGGGTCCTTGTGCTGGAGACCGGGAATACATTTTCACAAAGCTGTCACTGGATATGTCGAAGGTTTTCAGAGAAGATTTTGGCAGGGAAACACCGCACATCGAGGCACAAAAAAACAAGTAAGTTACAATATTATTAATTAATTTTATAGACCTATTATTGAATAGTTTATTAGGTATATGTTTTAATTTATCTACCCGTGAATTATTTTACTATTTTTGTGTCAAAGTATTCTTAAAATAAAATGTGTTTTATTCAGAGAAAATAGAAAATGACAAACAAAATAATACATATAATAAAAATTAATATAAAATTTTGTAATTTAAGAAAAAAGAAATAAAACAATCTTGTTTTTTTTTTGTTTAATAAAATCTTAAACAAGTCATTCAAAATATTGTTTAAAATTTAAAATGTGATTTTATTTTATTTGAAAATATTAGAAGAAATTAAACATCGTTCTTTGAAAATGTGAATGTTTAAAATGTAGGTACCTACCTATTGCCTCAATTTCTAATTACTAAATTTAATAAAATAATGACAAAATAAAACTTCACTTTCCAATATTTTATGGGATTAAAGTGGGTAATTCTAAGTTAATTAACAAAACAATGAATAATTCTGCTGTCATCTATTTATCAGTTTTAAGTCTAATAGACACCTATACCTATGTGTATTTAAAAAAATATTAAATGATTCTGAAAATCACTGACCTGTACCTTTATATAAATGTTTAAGTATTATTTAATAATAGTGGTATTTAGATATATTAAAGTTCAAAACACTTTTTTAAGGACATTTATTTTTAAAATCCAGTAGAATAAGTTCCCAGATTTTATTTAACCATTCTGTTTTTGAATCCAAACATTTGACAGGGACGGATTTAAGTTTTACAAAATTAATATTTTATATAGATATTCTTATTTTCTCTGAATATAATATTTAGTATATTTTCAAAAGATTTTATTCAAATTCTGTAATTTTTGTATCTAAAAAAAGTATCAGTGTGGGTAAAAAATATATTTTTTTTTAAATGAATTTATATTTAACCAATTGTTGTAACAAGGAAGTACAAACGCATTGTATAAAATTCTATTTATACGTTTCTTTGTATCCTATTCTGACCACATTAGCCTTTGTTGTTTAGTTTATTCTTAGAAATATATATTTTATGGTGTATTTCTAACATATACTCGTTCATCAAGGGTACCTAATTTTTGTTACAATTTCCTAAGAGGAATATTTTTACATTCCTATTGAAAGAATTCTTTAAAACCTAATAAAAATAAAGCACCAGTCATTTTCAAATATGTAAAAAATTATAGTGTAAGTTATTGATAATATTACACATAATATAAGCTATGTCCCTTATTATAATAAAACGTTATTGCTTTAGTTTGTGTAATTAAATCCTACAAATTCCTAAAAATATTAGATAATACAATTTCTAACGTTACATGCAAATAGAAATCAATAAGACCATTTAACATTTAAATATTGAGAAAAAATAGATTAAAAAAATATTAATATTTTTTATGCATATTATTTAATTACGGCAAAAATAGATCACTTACAAATTTTTGGCGATTTTAGGTTTTAAATAGTGTCAATGATGTTTTCTCAAGAAAATTTTCTATTTATTATACTGTGTAGCATCTTGTAACTATTAAAACGTGAACATCAGTTGGTACCTACCATGGAGGAAGGATAAGGTACCTACCGTCCGTATAAGGTCCAGCTATTCCAAGAACTGTCGGAGGATGATTACGAACACCGCATTAAATTTTAACAGACAATGTCACATTGACGAATATCTTGCAACCAATTTGTTGTTTTCTGACGAGACAACTTTTTTATTTAACTGTTATACATACATAAGCGTTAACCTCCATCGACCATATGTATCAAGACTATTTACAAATCACCATGTTGACGTCTTCTTCGTTTTTTAAAATAATTTTTCTAACTTTTTACATGTCTTTACTTCTTTATATCATTCTAAACCTATAGCCAATCATCCAATCAATTCGTATATTATGTTTTTGATATTTTTATCCCAGTTCACGTCTAATGTTTAATATTTCTAGTTCTCATTCCCTTAACACTGATAAATGTAGTTGATAATGCCTATCAAGGCAACAGGGCACCTACGGAATTTAGTTTAAACCTGTCGTATCTTTAGGCTAGTTTTATACCCTATTCAAAAATGTCCTCTTGTTAACAAAAATCAAGGCATTAACAAAATCGGACCAAGTCAGCAGCATAATATGCCATATTTTTAGGCCATTTTTACACACTATTCAGTATAATAATATCAAGGTGTATTGTTAAAATCAATCAGTGCACCTCAGGTTCTTATTTTTTTTAATCATACCACATTGTTAGTTTCTCGAAATATATAAAACTTTTCAAAAAAATTGGTACTGTTATCCTAACGATTTGTTGTTTTTGATCCAATAGATTTTTCGTAAACTTGGCTGACGGTTCCTTAATGAACTCTTTGGCCTGTCTCAATCCTGGATAGTTGTTCCACTATTCTTGAGACTCTTTTTTACATCCATTGTTTGAAGGATGCCTTGCACAATGCCTTAGCTGCTCCACAGAAGGGTTCGGGGACTGTTATGGCCTTATTTAAGCCCTCTCAGGCTAGTTCGTCGACATTTTTATTACCCTGATGTCCTTCGTGGCCTGGTTACTTTGTTTTGACTACTGAGCTCTGACAGGTCTTCTAGGAAGTCTTTCGCCAGTCGTGATTTGATTTTTATTGAGAGATCTGATTATCTGTCACAGTAGATGGCAATAGTTTTGCCTGATTCTTGCTGATTTAGTATTTCTCTTGCACAGTGTTGTATCTATTAATTCGGCCTAAAACACTGTTGCATATTCTTCTAGATTCAGCGAAACCGTTGTTTTCGACTTGGGTCCAAAGATTTCAGTACCGGTTCTTTTCTTGGTAAACAAGTTTAGCCTGTTTCCAGGATTCTCGGTCTGGAATTTGAATTTGAAAATTTCTTTGAAATTTGCATGTAGCTATGGTTAAGTATATCAGTAGGCATTCCTAATATCTTTTTCTTTTTACCTGCTAGTTTGGCCTTGTAGGGTCAACGCCTTGTAATTTGCTTATTCGGTTTCATCCCTTCTAATACCGTTACCTTTTTTTACTTGCTAGTTTGGCCTTGTAGGGTCAACGATATATAGTTTGCTTATTAAGATTTGTCCCTTGAATAGGGTATATAAATTGCCTGAAAATATGCCACATATTTAACTCAAAATTCCCGAGGGTGCGTAATTATAGGTTGTTGCGTTCTTTTATATTATTAAATATTTATTATAATTAGATAACAACTTGTTCTATTTGGTTTCCTACTACGTCAATATTTATGTTACCTGTTCTATGTGTTATAGTCATCACTTTTGTTTAATAATGTTTATTTAGACTTTTTTTGAGTTTAACAATTATTTTATACAATTTTTAAGTGTTCATCTAAACAAAAAACTAAAAGTAATTCTAGGTCCATAGGAACCAACATAGGTTTCGCATAGACCCTCATTTGTATCAAATTTACATTAGTGACGAAGGTATACGGTTACTTAAAATGTATATAAACACTAATAATTATTGTAACTTACATTAGGTACTTGTATTAAATACTCTAACCGTTAAAATAAGAAAATTTAAAGAAAGAAAAAATAAAAACAACAAATTAAACAATTTAAACACAATGCATATTTGTGAGACATACCTTGGAGGGGACAGCGAAGAGAAGGAGTTTTTTAACTGTTGGTTTCAGTTAATTTTCGAGTTTCAAGTCTAGCTAAATCAATAATATATTTTTTTACATAGGTATATGTTTTATCATGTTAGTAGAGTTTATTTTGTCTAAGTATATTTTATAAATTTCTGGTAGATGACTATAAATTTCTGTGATAATGGGGTCTATTCTGTAACAATTCCTTTATATTTAACGGCCTTTAAAAATATGTTCTTCTTTACTTCTGTCATTATTTAAACGGATCTTTAAAATACATTAGAGGACTATCTTAAAGAAATCTGTTTAAATAATGACAGAAGTAAATTAACGAATACGAACATATTTTTATGGGCCGTCAATATTTTTAAAGGCCGTTAAATATAAAGGAATTGTTACAGAATAGACCCCATATAGTCCATTTAAAATAACGGTAAAAGGTCGAGAAACGCCGCACTTGACGAGACCACTTGTCCCCTACGTATTTTGGGGCGCTGATTACGAAAACTGGCAGCAATAGCTGGAACACCCCTAAAATTGTAAAAAAACACCCCTAAGTAGGTGTGATTTTCGACTGTACTTGTTGTTTTGCAAACTAAGCCACCCAAAAAACATATAAGATGACTTAGTTCGCGAAACACCGTGACTGGTCATTTTTTCCGAAAATTGACTCCTTAGGAGGGGTGTTTCTGGCATGTGGGGGGTGTTACACAAATTTTCCAGTCTCGACACCCCGATTTTCGTAATCAGCGCCCCAAAAAACATATGAGATGAGTTAGTTTGCAAAACAAGTACAGTCGAGAAACACCCTATGTAGGGGTGTTTTTTGCAATTTTAGGGGTGGTTCAACCATGGCTGTAAGTTTTAACTCCGATTTTCGTAATCAACGCCTCAAAAAACATAAAAGATGGCTTAGTTTGCAAAACAACAATTACAGTCGAAAAACACCCATATTTAGAAGTGTTTTTTGCAATTTTAGGGGTGTTCCAACTATTTCTGCCAGTTTCAACCCTCATTTTTGTAATCAGCGCCCCAAAATACGTAGGGGACAAGTGGTCTCGTCATGTGCGGCGTTTCTCGACCTTTTACCGTTATTTTAAATGGACTAATAGATGAGTATGACATCCTAAGCTAATCTATGGTAACTCCTAAATATTACTGAGGCCCTTCCTATGGTGCCTCAGTATTGCATTTGTGCAGACGAAAAAATTTTCTGACCCCCATTTTTTAAAACTTTTTTTCATGTTTCTGATCATTCTGAATCCGAAAATCAAAAAAAAAAAATTTCGTCTGGTCGTCTGTATGTATGTATGTATGCCGGCACGATAACTCTAGAACGAAAGTTCTGATTGACTTGCGGTTTTGCTTTTCTTGAATAGTTACTTCTAACTTAGAACCCTATTGATTTTCAGAAATTTCGGTTCATCCTAACTACTTTAATAACAATTTTCTTAAAATCCGCCTATGCATTCCTTATGTGAACAATTTTAGGAATTTCAATTATTTCTGACGTCAAAATTCCTAACATTCTTCACATTCCATAAACTGCAAACATTCTCTAACGACCTGTCAAACAACAGCTGTTGATAGTAAAGGTGAAATTTCTAAGGCGGGTTGCGACCTTCATACTTGCAACCATATAGCCATTTTGGAGGCTATTTTCATTCGAAATTAGTCGCCAAGCCTGCCAATTTATGAAAAATATATAAGCAGTTTCTTAAAAATGACTTTTTATGGTGGTGCTATTAAGCGTACTACTATTTCGCTCCTAGCCACAAAAACACCTTTATCAAATTTCTCTGTCGCAACCCCATAGAATAATTAACCGGCCATTGTATTTGGCAAAAATCAAAATAATGCTTGGCTGTGCCTGTCAAGTATCAAGATGTCAACTGTGATATGTGAATGGCTCTTAAATGTCAAATTATTTAAAAATGTATACTTCTTTTGATATTTATTGCAACTAATAAATATCTCAATTCAGGCTTTCCATAAATAAAAGTACAGCAAGACAGATAATATAATGTTCTTATACAAAGCACTTTTTTATTATATAAAAGAGAGGTAGGATATAATGCCCATTTCAAATTTGGATCATTTATGATACCAAGGTATTTTGTTGTGTTTTTCATTTTAATTATAAAGTTGTCATTTATTTGTATGTTGAAAGAAGGCCTTTGTAAATTACATTGCTCTCTATGGATCTACTTTACACAAAAATAGTTTTGTGGCTATAAGTTGCTATAATCTATCTTCACAAAACTATTAATAGTTTAAACATAGTAAGTGGTATTACTTAATATAACATCAAGTAATTTTTTAAAGAAGTAATTTTTTAAAATAAAGTACATGATCTCAAAACAAATAATCTATAATAAATGCGGATAAAACGAGGGGTAAAAAAACAATAAATCAAGGGAAATACTTAAAAAGGGCAGGTTTAAAGAGTATTATCACAAGAAACTATATGCGTTCTGTTTATTTATCAAGTATTGTTTGAGGTTACTTTTGAATACATTTGTTTTTTTTTATTTCTGTAGGCAGTCTATTAAATTTTTTAAACCTCTAATAAAAATTGTATTTTGGGAACTTTTAGTGATGGCTTGCCGTACATGAAAGTCAGATTGGTTTCTTGTATTATAGTTGTGATATTGCGAATTATATTGAATTTTTTCTAATAGATCTGATGCGATGGTACTCTCATTTTTGTTTTATAAATAAATATCAGTCATGTACTGAACATAATTCTGAACTGAAAGCCAATTTATTTCTTTTAACATAGTTGTAATACTCATCCTTCTGTCCTTTATTAATAGGATATAAATAGGCGAAGTAAGAAGCTCAAATATTTTACATGAGCAGGCTTAAGAGGTAAAGGGGCCAATTATTATTGGATAAATTGCTCGAAAAAGTTTTTAAACCCTAATCAAAAGGCGATATAGAATGGTTTTAAAAATCAAGGCTTGTGAAAATCATCCCATGGTTTAACCTAAGTAATTCCAATGCTTCACAAACCAAAAAATTCAACGTGCTAATACTACTATCGGCTTTCGGTATTTCGTTCCAAGTTAAATCATTTCTCGTTTTTGTTACGCTACGAGTTTACCCTTGTGGGCCTCAGTCTCGATAAGGTGGGAACCACCATTTTAGCGTCTCTTGAATTTATAATTACTTTTTGAGTTTATAATGTTTTTTGAGGAGTTATATATTAAGGTAAACATCTTATATTATTAGAGAATGGCAAAAAAATGTTGTTTCATAATTTATAATCAGTGACCTATGGCTAAACCTATCAAATATCTGTTCTAAATCATTTATATAACAGCAGTCTCATCTGCAAAGCTAAACATGTTGCCACTGGAAACCGAATTAAGTATCACATTAATATATACTGAAAATAAGATCGGTTCTAGGACAGTTCCTTGCGATAAACCATAGCTTTTTCTGACATAACATTATCGATTTTAACTACTTGTAATCGTTTTGATAAATAATAGCCTCGAAATAATTCGTTGGGTACATTACATATTCCTGCATCCTTCAAGACATGGAATATTTGTATATGGCACACAGTGTCGAAGGCCTTGGCAACATCCAGGAACATAAATATATCTGGGTTATTATTATCTTAAAATGTTGAAATATTATCAACAAGTTTTAAAACAAAAATGAAATGGTTGCTTGTACCCCTCGGCAATAATTATTTAAACAACAAGTAGTATTTACTTGAGAGTACTTAAAAATAGGTATTTTTAATTTTTTTTTAAGAATTTAGGAAAATAACAGGTGAAGATTAGGTATTTAATTTGTAGAAAAGTTTCGGCAAATGTGACTAAGATTTTTTCATAGATTTGTATACTCTCAAGAAAAGGTAGTACATGTATTACTTATTGCTATTTATAATAGTAATAATAGAATTATTAAAAAGAACCAATGGGCAAAAAGAAAGTCTCAAAAAAATATTAAAGAAATTCAAAAATGGGATGGCATTAAAACAAACAAGGATATTGGAAAAATTTTATAACGAGAAACAACAGAAATATAAGTGATACTGGAAAGATTGGTTTATAGGGTCATAGTCAAAATTCGACACCTTGAAGGGCATAAAGGAATTGTGAAAAAGCAGCAGAATAAAATAATATTCTTAAACAATTATTGTATGCTAGATTTTATAATCAATATTTATTTTTCTCTATATCTATCAGACAGCATTTGATTAAACAAAAACTACAAGGTATTTTTTACATCGGCTTGAGATATCCTGTTTAATGTTTATCAAGACTAATCATTCTCTTAATCTTCATTGAACTTTGTGAATTAATATATCGGTACTTTTTCTATTACGATTGATTGAATAATAACGATATCTTACGACGGTATTTTTTTTAGCTTACAATTAGCTTGTCACACAATTTCCCAAAAATGTAGACCATTTTTCGTTAATCGTATAAAATTCATCACATTGTTATAGTTCTAGAGAAAGTTAAATGGTTTTAAGAATTTAGGAAAATAACAGGTGAAGATTAGGTATTTAATTTTTAGGAAAGCTTCGGCAAAGGTGACTAAGATTTTTTCATAGATTTGCATATTCTCAAGAAAAAGGTAGTACATGTATTACCTAGTGGTACTTATAATAGTAATAATAGAATTATTAAAAAGAACCAATGGACAAAAAGGAAGTCTCAAAAAAATATTAAAGAAATTCAAATCAAACTAGATAATCTTCTGTTGCTTTTGAAAAAACAAAATGGGATGGCATTAAAACAAACAAGGATATTGGAAAAATTTTATAACGAGAAACAACAGAAATATAAGTGATACTGGAAAGAGTGGTTTATAGGGTCATAGACAAAATTCGACACCTTGAAGGGCATAAAGGAATTGTGAAAAAGCATCAGAATAAAATAATATTCTTAAACAATTATTGTATGCTAGATTTTATAATCAATATTTATTTTTCTCTATATCTATCAGACAGCATTTGATTAAACAAAAACTACAAGGTATTTTTTACATCGGCTTGAGATATCCTGTTTAATGTTTATCAAGACTAATCATTCTCTTAATCTTCATTGAACTTTGTGAATTAATATATCGGTACTTTTTCTATTACGATTGATTGAATAATAACGATATCTTACGACGGTATTTTTTTTAGCTTTCAATTAGCTTGTCACACAATTTCCCAAAAATGTAGACCATTTTTTGTTAATCGTATAAAATTCATCACATTGTTATAGTTCTAGAGAAAGTTAAATGGTTTTAAGAATTTAGGAAAATAACAGGTGAAGATTAGGTATTTAATTTTTAGGAAAGCTTCGGCAAATGTGACTAAGATTTTTTCATAGATTTGCATACTCTCAAGAAAAAGGTAGTACATGTATTACCTAGTGGTACTTATAATAGTAATAATAGAATTATTAAAAAGAACCAATGGGCAAAAAGGAAGTCTCAAAAAAATATTAAAGAAATTCAAATCAAACTAGATAATCTTCTGTTGCTTTTGAAAAAACAAAATGGGATGGCATTAAAACAAACAAGGATATTGGAAAAATTTTATAACGAGAAACAACAGAAATATAAGTGATACTGGAAAGAGTGGTTTATAGGGTCATAGTCAAAATTCGACACCTTGAAGGGCATAAAGGAATTGTGAAAAAGCATCAGAATAAAATAATATTCTTAAACAATTATTGTATGCTAGATTTTATAATCAATATTTATTTTTCTCTATATCTATCAGACAGCATTTGATTAAACAAAAACTACAAGGTATTTTTTACATCGGCTTGAGATATCCTGTTTAATGTTTATCAAGACTAATCATTCTCTTAATCTTCATTGAACTTTGTGAATTAATATATCGGTACTTTTTCTATTACGATTGATATTAACTGTATCTTACGACGGTGGTTTTTTAGCTTTCAATTAGCTTGTCATACAATTTCCCAAAAATGTAGAGCATTTTTTGTTAATCGTATAAATTTCATCACATTGTTGTAGTTCTAGAGAAAGTTAAATGGTCTTTTAGATATTAATCTGGTAAATTGTAAAATTGTTGGTGTTTTTTTTTTTATAATTGCGTCACATTCCTTACAATTTTTATTGGCAACGTTCAGTTTATTATTATATTATTGTCCCAATGATTAAACAACATTTAACAAATTGTAACACCGCAATTTCTGTTTCAGCCAGGACGAGTGGCTACATTAGTTGAAGGACAGGTAAGATCAACAAAATAGTTATTTAGAATTAGTCCCCTATGACCTATATAATATACCTACATATATAATATATTATATGTTATGAATTCATGGGTCCCTAATACGTATTTTGTTGCTATTTGTCTACATAATATATCAATTATTATTCTTACAATAACCAATGTATCGAATTTTGCAAAAGTAATTCGTCTAAATAAAAATTACAATTATTGACGAACTTTGTGAGTACCTAATTTGAAGCTTTTTTTTTCTGTTCGTCAATTGAACATTCTTTCCATTGAGGCTGCAAAGAATGCTCTTTGAGTAGGTACAACCCTCTTTATGATTCTTCAAGCGCATTTGGCTGTGTGTCTCACGGTATTCTGCTTGGAAAGCCATGTTCCTAAATCGTATTTGAGCAATCGATTTCAATGAGTATGATATTTAATAGCTTATTGGGTTGAAACTGGTGTTTCCCTTTATATTATAATTTGAAAATCATATACACCGATGTTGTAGAGAGGTATTTGAAGATTTGAGAACGAGCCTGAACGATGTCTGGCCCGAACTAGCACATCAAACTTCTGTCTAGATATCTTGACAGTTAGGGTCCGATTATAATTAGAAGAACACAGCTACGTCATCATTTGGCAAAGTAATTAATTGGTTATCGCCGCCTACTCGGGGTTTAGTGGAGTGTTAATATTATAGGAACATAGGAAATATTGTTTTATACCTAACAGCTTATTTATTTTTTATTTATTGATAGTTATAGATAATATGTATTTGAAATTCGAAGTAATGGTTATGACGTAGCGGTGTTCTTCTAATTGAAATGTTCAGGAAAAATCAAGCTCTATAAGGGGACGAAGTATATTGATTTAAAAAAAAAACCAGTTAAAAGAAGGGGGGTTGAAATTTAAAAAAAAAACTCATAAATTAAATCCGAAAAACAATATCAACTTGAAATTTTCAGGAAAAATCAAGCTCTATAAGAGGACAAAGCCTGTGAATAAAATTGGGGACTTAAGAGGGGATTGAAATTTAAAAAATTATAAATCAAAAACAAAAAGCGATATCAACATGAAATTTTTAGTAAAATCAAGTTTTATAAGGGGATGAAGCCTATTGATTCTTAAAAATATCTGAATAAAAATGGAAGGGACGGAGAGATGAAATATTAAAAAATTACTAACTCAATAACGAAAAATGAAAAATCAATTTGAAATTTTTAGCAAAAATCAATCTCTAAGGGGATAAAGCCTATTGATTTTGAAAAAAATCTAAATAAAAATGGGCAATGAAAACAACCCCCACTGCTGCAATGGAAACACTAATAGGACTCCCACCTCTTCACTATGTGATACAAGGGGAGGCAAGATTAGGTGCTTACAGATTAGGGAATACACTGGGAAATCTTGACATTAGGCCAGGTCACATGAGTATCTCAAGGTTAGTGACAGGAGACGTGCTAGACATGAGATCAGACCACTTAACCAAGAGGTACTCTTTTAATACTCCCTTTGAGGTTTTAATACAGGAAAGAGCGGAGATCACCATAAGGGAGCCCAATGCCCAACGACAGGAACAAACCTGGTATACAGACGGGTCTAAGACTGCGGAAGGTACTGGGGCAGGAGTATTCTCTAAAAACCCTGATACTAACCATAGCTATGCGATAGGAATACATTCCTCGGTATTTCAGGCCGAGGTATACGCAATTTTGCAATGTGCAAAAACGAACAATGAAAGAGCTGTCGAAATACAGCATATTCAAATAATGTCAAACAGCCAAGCGGCACTTAAGGCCATATCGAGTCAGAAAGTTACGTCGAGGCTGGTATGGGAATGCATCGAAGAACTAAGAACACTGGCAGACCATAATAGAGTAAAACTATTTTGGGTGCCAGGTCACAAAGGGATCGAAGGTAACGAAAAGGCTGACGAACTTGCAAAAAGAGGATCAGAAGAAACACCGGAACCAGACACAAACCCAGGAGTACCAAAAAGTCCGGGGTTTTATAAATGACTGGATTCGGGAACAACATATCAACTATTGGGGAAGCACCCCAAAACAGGCACATGGAAAAGCCTTCATAGGCAGACCATGTCCCAAAAGAACTGGAGAACTACTCTTAATGAATAGAAACCAGTTGAAAGTGATAACAGGGTTCATGACTGGGCACGCCCCAGTAAAGGGACACTTGAACAAAATTGGCATGTACAATGGGGAACTCATGTGCCGACTATGTCACAAGAAACCAGAAACGGCCAAACACATACTGTGCGAATGCGAAGCTCTAGATCGCAAAAGACAGGCTCTTTTTGGACAACCCCAGGTTGATCCAACAACGTATAGAACCCACTCACCCAAGGATCTGTACAAACTTATACAAGGTACAAAGGTGATAGAGTGGATGCTATGAACTAACATGGGGTAAAACACAATAAGCCAATAGGCTTCAGTGTTATTCGGAGACACATAGTCAGACGAGCCCAGGAGAGAAAAAAAATAAATAAAAATGGAGGGTTAAGGATTGAAATTTAAATAAACATGAAATTTTTACAAGTATTTCACATAATACCCACATAAAATAATCACTTGACTATGATACTAGGAATCTCAATGTTAGATAACGATAAAAACACCCTGTATATTACACGATACAAAAACGCTAATATTTTATTATTTTTGAAAAATGAATGTGATAATATTATGCCATTTTAAAGTTTTCTTTATTTAATTATGTGAATAATTTATTAAGTAGTGGTTTTACTGCTTTGTATACCTACATGAATTTAATATTATATCGCTTTTTTAATTATAATACACATTTTTTAAAATTTTGTTTATTTAAAGATTATTTAAACATTTTATGGTAAAAACCTACATGAGTAAAAAATTTATAAGGTTATATGGAAATTTATTTTTGTTTACATCAATTATGTAATAATTATTTCCTAAGCAATTTTGATATTTTTATAATTCAAATCAAATCAATTCAATAATGTTTGTTCAAAATCCAGCCTCAAAGCAAAAAGTTGCAGTTATTTAAACTAATTATGTACAAAAATAACTTGACAGATTAGTGACCGAACATGTGTGTTAAAAGCTTCGAGCATTTAATGAAAATGGCCGCTCTTAGTGACTTTTATGACAAGTATCAGTTCTGTCAAATAAGTCAGTAACATGTCTTAGGGTTACTACCACGAAGTATAGATACAAGGAGTCCGAACGGTATAGGCTTTTTTATAGGATTCATGTATCCAAATATTAAACCCAGATCTTAGTTCTTTTTTCTGCCACTGGCTGCGCAAATATTCAGAACGTACCGAAAGGCAAATGAGAATTTAGGAAAAGTGGCTTTATTCAAAGCACCGAAAGTGAGTAACATCTAAATAATATTAAAAATTTGTTTTAACAAATGATTGATTAATAAATTTGTTTTATTTTCAAATAATAATTAATTAAACAAGTACTTCTTCAAAAGTGGCGCGCCCTACCGGCAAAAAGTCTGTCCCTCAAATTGATGCCATTCATTCAACATTACGTTCGGACTCCTTGTATCTATACTTCGTGGTTACTATTGAAATTATTAATGTTACTTTAAGCCAACTGTAAACATCGATTTAGTCACGTGGGATACACGTGTTTTGTTGACGTCTTACATTTCTTTTTATGTTCTTAAATTCAAACATTTTATTTGAGAACATTATTTAAATAATCTTATCATGCTACAAAAACGTGGTACATATTTAGTTGGCACCTTAATTCGTTGAGGTGGTCAGTTACGGACGTCAGTGTACTCCATTTTTAAGCCGATGTAATAGTGAGGAAGTTTTATCTGTTATAAGTATTATACACATGTAGGTATGTTATTTCGCTTTCATTTGACTTTTTTGATTACAAATGTTTTTATTGAGTCTATAGATAGTGTCTTATTTAACCAATTTAAAAATTGTAAAGCACCTAATTATTTTTGTTTTCTGCGAAATTAATTAATTTTATTGGATCACAGATAGCAAAAAGGTTAATTAATTATTATTTTTAGGGCTTCAGTTAAAATATTTATAAATATTTATGTGAAATCATTCCAAATAAAAATATGCTGTTTGGACTTTGTGAGTTGTCTACAAGTCGTCTGTGCTTAATTTACATTTCCTCATTAGTTGTATTTACACAAAAAATATAGTAAGCTGTCTGTATGGTATCAATGACTTACTTTTTTATACTCTGCGGCATATTAGTTTTCTTTGGGGGCGACCAAGCAAGTTTTCTACATGGTTTACATATACAGGGTGTCCCGAAATAAGACGGTCATATTTTAACAGCGTAATCTACATCCTAAAATAGAAATAAAAGTTCATGTAAACATAGGTGCGAAAACGTTGCGTTTTCGAGATACAGGGTGTTACAAGTGAAGTCCTGATGGCATATTTTTGTAAATATTTTTTAAAATTTCTTTAGTCACCGGTTTTCCGAAGTAAAAAAAAATAAAATTTTTGATTTCACAGGCGTACTAATTATTCTTTACATTTTCGAATAACTTATTATGAAATTTTCAAATGCTTTTTTCTTGAAAATGGTACGTCCTAGCGAGATGCAACAAAAGTAACTTTATTGTAAAGAAAACATTGGTTTTCCAAATTTTATAGTCAAAAATGGTAAAAACTGTCAACAAAAAAAACTTAGGGCAATTTTACCCTAAACCCCCCCCCCCCCTAATTTACCCACCTATGAAGATGATGAAAAACTGGGGTTTAGTCCATTAGATAGAGCGTAAAAAGGTTAGCATTTGTATTAAATTTCACTTAGCTATCTTTAAATGTTTAGAAAATATTTACAAAAGAGTGTCATTAGGACTTTACTTTTAACACCCTGTATCTCGAAAAAGAAACGTTTTCGGACCTATGTTTATATAAACTTTTACTCCTATTTTAGGATGTAGATTATGCTGTTAAAATATGACCGTCTAATTTCGGGACACCCTGTATACAGAGGTGTTTCGCAATTTAGTTTA